TCATCGTTTCTAAACATTTAATAACACGAGTCAAATTACGATAAAGATGAATGAATACCTCTGCGGTAGCAAATGCACGGGCACTTTGCTCTTAGTAGCCAAAGTTTTTTTCGAGTTATGTTAGTTACGAGCTAGGGTATGAATTACAAGACCCGTTCACGTTTTACCCAGTCAGGGAGCTCACAGAATGAGAGGAAGCAAAGCTAGAGTCACATGTAACCTATAATGTTAAGGCTTTATGGAACATGCGTAGTGTTGTTTTATTGCTTACGAATATAAAATGGTGTTTGGGCACAAATCATTAGCCATTTTGGTCAACACGGAAATTACGTTAAAACCACCGTTCGAGTCTAGGAAACGATTTTAAGATTCACTTTTCAAAAACCAGCCACTGAAAAATCGAGGATCAGGGAACGTTTTTGTCGATGATGCCGATTAGAGTGACTTGGGCATACACGAACCGTTGCTGCTCATGTCACGTGCCTTTCCCCGACGTTTAACGTCTCCGCTGATAGCGGAGCTCTGGCAGCCCGAAGGGCCACCAAGCGGAGCCCCATACTCATAGAAACCCGTGAATCGCTTTTCTCATGGTAAAAATGGCTAGTGGTATTCCTCGTGGGCGCGTACGCACGACGACGACGTCGCACAACATGGCGGCCATACTCCAGCTAATAGGACATGGGCAGGACATGCGGCCTTGGTTTACAGCGTACATCTTTGATATTGGACATCCATTTTATGGTCAATTGATATCTGGCAAAACAAGGTATCCGCAGACCAGTATCACATGACCATAATGCGGACTCAAGTTTTAAGCTCAACGAGGTCACGTGTTTTTGAAGTTAACCGCTGACCAGGTACCGACTTTTCGAACGGATCGCAGGCACAAGTCAGGTTAACTTACTGTAATCAAGGCCGGGCTGTTCGAAATGCTAACCCGGGATTAGAAGTTATCCAAAGTATAAATTTTTCTTGAACAAAAATGATTTTCATCTGCTTATGTTTTGCGTAGTTTGAGATCATTCAAACTCTGAAGGCCAAACAATATAAGTAGAAAACCTCACCGCCAAGTTACAAAAACTCTCAAATCAAAATTCTCACTTATCCTGAGTTAGCTTAATCAGGCCCTGAACAAGCCGGCCCAGGAGCTCCGCCTTTAGGCTTGGCTAGATCTGTCTATTAACTATATATCGTAAAGTAGTACATAATGAAAACAAAGGACATAATGAAAGCAAAATGAAACTTATGTTAAAATTGTTGAACGCTACGAGAATCTGGGATTTCTTTAACGATTTACTCCAAGTGCATTGGACGTTAAACGTGCTATTTTCTTTTTTGTGACAGATATTTGCCTGTGGAAAACAGAAAGTGGACAATGCTGTGCTTTTCCCTTCTCTTATGGTAACGACACCCACTCATCTTGCATCACGACACCAGACAGGCCAAAACCATGGTGCTCTTTAAACTGGGTTTACGACTTAGAATACGTGGAATGGGGCTACTGCAAAGGTGATAGGTTAAGTTTGCTATTCGTTCCTAACTGAGTTGCTGAGTCTAGTGAACACCAACAGATATACGTGCAACCTTAAGGCCTTATGGCTGACTATGCCACCGTTTTGTCCATCAGAGAGTTGTTTGATGGGAACTGCCGTAAAATGGTGTTCCTTTATTAACACTAACTTAGCCAGTTTGTTATTTTTCCTTCGCTATGTCTTAAAATACCATAACCGAGATACTATGCGTTTCGTGATCTGTTTCTCAGTCTGACCTCTAACATATGAGAGGCAGAGATAGCAAAGATTCGTCTCGTGGCCGCTTTTTTTTCTTACTACATTCTTACCAATCTGTGTAGCTAAAACTGAACAGCCAACGGACAAATGGATTCTATTTTAGTATCAGATAATAGCTGATCGATCCTACCTGCAATTTAAATGATTCATTTCAAAGTCTTTTAAAAAAATATTTTTAACGTTGTTGCACATGTGTTTTTAAACCTATATTTAAATAATAGATTATTGTGGACTTGATCGAGAGCTGTGTAGGTGGGAAGTTGAAGATGGTGACACTACCTGGCAAATCGTCAGTCAGGAGCAAGCCAAGAACTTGAAAAAACAATTCACATCAGTGTCGACTGCCAAAGATGAGTCATATCAGGGTAAGTCCACTAAGCGAATTAATGAAAATGGAGCCCATTGGAATGGGATAATCCATTTTATCGGGAAAGAAAATCAAATACCAATGTGACACATGACAATAATTTGCTAAAAATCGGTATATCGTAAATTGCCAGTCTGGCGATTCACTTCGAAAGCAAAACATACGCCAACGAAAAGTACAAAAAGGAAGACGCGTCTGAAAAAAAGGAAAGAAATGTACACCTCAAATTTAGATTATCTCTTGATTTGTTAAAAAGGACAGCTCTTGGGCTCCACAGTGACAGAAATCTCTCCATACTTGTTATATTATTTCCCACGTATTCTTTATAATCATTAATATGCTTTACTCCATATGATTTACAGAAAAAAGTGATTTTCAAGTTATCCTGCCACAATCTATATTTGGAAACATCACAGTGCATGAAGTTGCCATAGAAAATGACCTGAAAGCCGTCACTGCTTGCGCTTGGGTTCAAACAAATGTATCCACGGTAGAGATAAAATACATGACGAAATCGGAGAGTTGTGGAGAGACCACTGCCCTTGGAATACGTTTTTTTAACAATAGTATCACAATTACCGTTCTTGGAAACGATTGGTGAGTATTTTACTCCAGTTACTTAGTTTAAATTGTTGTATACGTTGTATAAAGTAGTTCGTCGGCATTTGATATATTTCATGTCTTTATTTATTCAGGGTAGTTCCATCCTTTGTGGCTGATGAAGAATGGCATAATGTGTGTATGACCTGGCTTTCACTTGGCGGGTACCTGAAAGTTTTCGTTAATGGTCTGAAACGGATCAGCAGTTATGAGGCTGCTATTGATAGCCTTGTGATTCTAGGTATCAAAGATAAGTAAATTAACATTATTCCTCAATCAGAGTTGCTCATTTGATTAGATCGTTAACCAGCATTTCATCAAGTTTGTCCAAGAATTATTCACCACTCATGTTGATGCCAGGATAGATAACGTCTGGCAGAAGAATGCAGATCTAGGAGAGCTGTTATGTTAAAGCGCCCTCCCCTCTCTCACGACCGTGGGATACATTTTACTTTTAATATTAGAATGTCCATTAATTTTCCTTGATTAAGAAAAAAAACCTGCGTTTCTTCGTATTAATACTTTGATAAGGAGGTGGTGTAGAGGGTTCTGTCAGCCATTCAACGGAGCGTAATACTAACAGACGTAATCAGACAGAAACGATGGTTTTATATGCTGCTTTAGGATTTTCTACCAGGATATTATGCAAAGGATGACGTTACGATAAACATTTTATTCGCATGCTTACGACAAAATTGAGACCGTTAATGCTAGCTTTTAATTTATACGTATTCTTTAACTGAAAGAGTAGCTTTTCCTATGAAAAGAGACCTCTAGAAAGTCGACTCTTTTTATAATTGTTATCCACTGAAGGGGGTGGTCGCCTTATTATCAGCTGCCCGGATGTAAGCAATTCATCACAAGAAGCAGGTGTGGGTCGTGTCAGTAGTGTCAACATCTGGAAAAATGTGATTGAAGAAGACGAGATCTATCGGATGTCCTTGGGCTGCAAGAGGAGAGACGGAGATCTACAGTCGTGGGGAACCATGCTTGATGGACTTCAAGGGAATGCTTATGTTTATTATGACACCTCATCCTGCCGAGATCGGACTGGTTTGTAATAACACAAGTCTTTTTATCGATCACATAACTCTTTTGTCGCTCGTGTGTGAGGCCTCTTATAGCCCGCTGCCATATCTAAGTAGTTCCAAAGAATAGGTTGGCATTATAAGTAATATATCAAACATGGATGACAGTGTTTCATCGGGATATCCAAAAACCGAGAAGAGAGTTGAAAATACGACGCGCAGCGGAGTATTTTTGACGAAATTCGAGGTGTTTGGAAAGCCGATGAAACACTGTC